AACCATAAAACCTAAGCCCTAAACCCTAAAGCGTTTAAGTTTTAGGGTTTAGGGTTTAGGGTTTAGGGTTTAGGGTTTAGGGTTTAGGGTTTAGGGTTCAGCGTTTAGGGTTTGTGTTCACGATAAGGAAGCTCTAGGAAAGACCCGAGACAATGCAAAAGGGCCAGGGTTGAGCTTATGTCTGTTGGGGTTCTGGGTTCAAGGTTAACTCCTCCTTGTAAGGGCCCCTGCAAAAAAAATAATGTAGGGGCCTTAATAACTAGAATAGGGTTTTGGGGAAGAAAATCCTATGCTTGTAATAGGAACCCCTTAAACAATATAGGTAATTATTAAGGCCCCTCTATTACCCCCACTGAAACCCGAATCCCGAAGGCCTTGTTGTAGGGCACACGTTTTGAGGCGGTTCAGGGTTTAGGGTGTCCCTAAACCCTTAGGTTTGAGGGTTGAGGGTTTAAGGTTTAGGGTTTAGGGTTTAGGGTTTAGGGTTTAGGGTTTAGGGTTTAGGGTTTAGGGTTTAGGGTTCAGGGTTTAGGGTTGAGGGTTTCCCTAAACCCTAAAGCCTACACCGGTTTAAACTTTCCATGTGCCCTCTCTTCCGTCCTTGCAGCTGCCTTGGGGTGGCCCAGCGGTACGTGCAGGGATCCATAGCGGGCATCGGGTCCTCCGAGAGTTTTTGGCTTTAGGGCTCCTTGAAGGGTTCAGGGTTCGGGGTTTAGGGTTTAGGGTTTCGGGTTTAGGGTTTAGGGTTTGGGGTTTCGGGTATAGGGGTTCGGGTTTAGAGCTTACAGGGCTTCCTGGAAGGTCCTATCAGTCCATAGGAGTTTTTGTGTATATAGGGTTTATTGTGTTCAGGGTGTAGGGCTTCGGGTTTGGAGTTTGGAGCTTGGGAGTAGGGCCAGTGTGCCACAGCAGAATGTATGGATAAGGGCCACTAAACCCTAAACCCTAAACCCTAAACCCCTAAACCCTAAGCCCCTAAACCCTAAACCTAAAACCCATACAAGCCACAGAGACCGGCGTTGAGCAAGTCAGCAGGAGTTCCTCTGCTCCTATCGGTGATGTCGTGCTGCAGTCATGGGACTTCGCTTGCCCACGTTCACAGACGGGCCTTTCCAGGGTTCTGAGTGGCATGTTATACTATAAACATCTATAAACCCTAAACCCCAAACCCTAAACCCTAAACCCTAAACCCTGAACCCTAAACCCTGAACCCTAAACCCTAAACCCCAAACCCTAAACCCTAAACCCTAAGCCTTATACTGCAAGCATAAACAGGAACCCTAAGGAACAGGGCAAGGAATGGCCAGGCAGCAAAATTACTTCGGCTGGCGTAGTGTCTCCATTTTCGGCTCCGAGAAAGTGACTCCCAGATCCGACTCCCCGGCGAGGAGCGGTAGGGATGGGTTTTGGGTTTGGGGTTTAGGGTTTAGGGTTTAGGGTTTAGGGTTTAGGGTTTAGGGTTTAGGGATTTTCCCGAGTGGGTTTGGGGCTTAGGGTTTAGGGTAAGGTTTAGGGTTTGGGGTCTAGGGTTTAGGGTATACTCCCTAATAATCATGTAGGCTTCTATATGAATATAGAGATCCAAAAAAGAGAATAGGGTTTGGGGGTATACTTTACTATAAATGCAATAACGAATCCACCCAAAAAACAGTATAGGTAAATATTTAGGCCCCTACGTTAGCTCAACTAGAGCGGCGCGGCACACCAGGGTTTCGTCGCTCAAGTTTTCATGCTTCGGGATTCGGCTCTACATGATGACAAGGAGGCTTGAGCAAAAGAAAACGAACAGTTTAGGGTTTTAGGTTTTTAGGGTTTAGGGTTTAGGGTTTAGGGTTTAGGGTTTAGGGTTTGGGGGTTTTGGGGTTTTGGGGTTTTGGGTTTAGGGTTTAGGGGTGACGGTGACAGACAACAGCTTCAGGTTTGAGGTTTCCGGAAGCCCGAAACGCCCTCTCATTGTCCCTGAAGATATAGAGAAAACTCAAACCCGAGGCCCTGGTCCCTTCGCCCCTTATACCAATATAGCGGCTTGAATAATTACTTAGCTGGTTCTGTTGTGGGTTCCTTATTATGATTATAGTATAATATCCAGCAAAACCCTAATGACATTATTAAGGCCGCTATAGTCCTCCTTTCAAGTCCTTCCCTTGGCCCCACGGCCTGCCCGGTGCTGACCTCAGACAGTTTTCAGGATCTCAGCTGAAGGGTTCAGGGTTTAGGGTTTAGGGTTTAAGAGATTTCTCGCAGTACGGCCTAAAACACTCAACCCGGGAGGCTGAACCTGAAAGCACTGTACCAAAAAGGCGAAAAAAACAGCAAATCGTATGTAATCGCGTCATGAAGCAAAATCCTGTGAAGTCAGCATTTGGAGAAAAACGGAACTCTAAAAACCGTTTTGACTTGTACAACACCTTATAAGCTGTTTTTAACTCTATTGGCACAAGGAGGGCCCTTCGAAGCCCAGGAGCATGAGCACACGCTCGGCAACAGGGGCTGCAAGCAGCCAGACATCCTGCAATGGCAGGTCCTTCGAACAGAGTTTTGGAGGTTAGAGTGTGGGAAATGGTTTGGGGTTTACAGTTGAGGGTCAAAGGCTGGGCCGCCCCCTCGTTTGGTTGCTACCTGCAACCCCCCTCTCCCCCAACCCTGAACCCTGAACCCTGAACCCTAAACCCTAAACCCTAAACCCTATAAACCCTAAACCCTAAACCCTAAACCCTATAAACCCTAAACCCTAAACCTCTTCTTTTTGGAGTGAACAAGTTCGGACATCTCTGTAGCGGTCAGCTGAGACCTACTCTCGTTTCCTGTTCCCACAGGCTCATGGTCTGATTGCGCAGGTTTAGGGTTTAGGGTTAAGGGTTTAGGCTTCAGGGTTTAGGGTTTAGGGTTCAGTGTTTAGGGCTTAGGGTTCAGGGTTTAGGGTTTGGGGTTTCGTATTTTCGGATCGCTGCTCTTGTCAGTTGTTCTCGCACCTCGCACTGCCGGCCAAGTTCTACAATATCTAAGTGAGAATAATGTTGACGACAACAAGAATCGTAACGATGCTCATGGGCATAGTCATAATCATGGTAATCAGAATGACCTAAGCCCTACACCCTAAACCCAGTCCCTCTAAATCCGTCCTCCTGCAGCACCTGGCGGCTGACAATCTGGCAAGCTCTCCTTGGCTGTGAAGAGACCAGGGAGACTAACCGTTTAGGTTTTAGGTTTTAGGGTTTAGGGTTTAGGGTTTAGGGTTTAAGGCTTTAGGGTTTTAGGGCTTTAGGGCTTTAGGGCTTTAGGGCTTTACGGTTTAGGGTAAGGAACCCCCCAAAAGAATAGATGTAGTTATTAAGGCTCCAATTTTATTTCATAATGGCTCCTTTAAGGAACAAGTCCAAACAAAAAATGCTATATAGTTATAATAAGGAACCCCCAAAATTAATATAGGTGTTTATAAAGGCCCCAATATCATTTCATAATGGCTCCTTTAAGGAACAGGTCCAAACAAAAAAAAGTATGGCATTCCAAAACCCAGTCTCAGAGCCAAGCCCAGTGTCGAGGCAGCCTGGAGCTCCCAGGGCGGGGGGGGGTAGGGTTCCTTGTTCGGGCTTAGGGTTGGAGGCTAATGTAGGGGCCTCAAAAATAATTAGAATAGGGTTTTGGGGCCCATTATACTATAAATATAATAAGGAACTCCCAAAATATTATTGGTACTTATTTAGGCCCCTGTGTTAGAAGGTTTGGCTTTCAGGGTTTAGTTTTTTTAAGCGCAGTGGCCTCTTCGTCTCAACAAGCCTGCCTCGGTCGAGGCGCACACTAAGGGTTTAGGGTGAGTTGGGGTTTCGGGCGCAGGGTTTGGGATGAAATCCTTGCGGCTTAAACCCTAAAGCCTAGGCCTTCGGTGTTTCGCGCGCTACGACGTGTAGGGCTTTCAGGCTTTGGGCGTGTAGGGCTGCGTGCCCCGAGCCGGCCCTTCACTGCGGCCTATTCCGAATAAAACGTCTTACGGTTCAGGGAGGGTTTAGGGTTTACGGGTTGATTGAGGGCTTCAACATTCAAGCTTCGCGATATGGAAGTTTCTTACCATTGGGTTACCTTATGTAGGGGTCCTGATAACAACGGGACTCCTACAATTTGGGGTCTGTGTGAATTAGAGCCCCTGATTTCTGCAACAAGCCTGCGGCCGTAGAGTTTTGGGGTACTTGGAGGTTCATGGGTAGCGATAAGTGGAGTTATAAGTCCCCAAATATGGGTTATAATTACAGCTACCCTACTTATAATCCTGTTTGTTTGGGGCCGGGCCGAGGCGGACGACGCGAAGTGTTTAAAATTGAATAATTAGTTTGGTGGTACCCACATTGCCTGCGAAACATTACGCCTTTCACTCATTCCATGACGATTTCTTCGTGCACAAGTACACGCCGCACATCCACTGTGTTCGTAAGGAGTGTTTGCTTCTGTCGCTACATTACAGCGATGCCATCAATGCTCTCAAACTTGTTCCACGCACTGTTCGGCAGTGGTTTTGTGTTTGTCGTGCATCTGGCCTCGAAGCTCCTGGGATGTGCAAGTTGGCGGTTCCATGTGTCCACATAGTGTCACATAATCCTCTGTGGGCGATACCTTTAGCTACAAAGTCTCATTGAATAGCCATGATTGCAACTCTGCGCCGTGTAACGTGAGTGAGTGGGCCTACAGAGCCGGCTCCGTGCCGCTCAGATTGCCTTCTACTTGCGAGGGCTGTCGGTCCCTGCCAGACTCCTGATTTTTGTATGGCCTTGATCTTAAAAGACCAACTTGCGAACCACAACCGGAGGTTGTGGTTCAACCTGATGAAAAAAGCGCCCTAAACCCTAAACCCTAAACCCTAAACCCCAAACCCTAAACCCTAAACCCTAAACCTATGCCAAAAACCCTCCCCTATGCAAGTGCGGGAGCTGAGAACTTTCAGCCCCTTTATGTACTTATAACTACCCATGAACCTCCAAGTAGGGGTTTCGGGTTTAGGGTTTAGGGTTTAGGGTTTAGGGTTCAGGGTTTTTGCATTTGAGGTTTGAGGGGTTGGACTGAGGATTTAGGCTTGCGGCATGAGCGTACCTGGAGGGTCATACCTACCCCTATCTTAAGGCACCCTAGTTTTTATGGTTAGGATCTGTTATATAGAAAAAGTAGGTACCCACAAAAGGGGTAGGGTATGATCCTACAGGTAGTTGGGACTGAAATTCTTATTCACGGATTCGGAGGTCGGAGGTCTTCGGAAGAAGCCCAACGGCGTGGAAGCTTGGTTGGCCAACGGCTCCACTAGGGCTTATAGTGTTTAGGGCTTAGGGTTCAGGGCGCAGTCTCGGGTTCTTGTTCTGGGGGCCGAGAGGTGTTTCTTGAGCTGAGGGTTGAGTGGCGCCGACCCGATCCACCCGGCTAAACCTCCTCAAAAACCAGGTCTTCAAATCTTCAAGCATCCAACAGAGACCCGTCAACGCATGTGGGTAGTTCTCTAGGGAGGGCCCCTTTTTTTAGCTCCCCAAAATAGTACGGCACCCTTCTGCAAAGGACCCTAAAAGGACCCGAAATGTAGACAAGTACCCACGTAGTAAGAACCCACCATCCAGAAACCGATGCTGAAACCCGACTCAGGCCCGCAATCCGAAGGCCCAAGGCCCCGAAACACTCTGCTACAAGTCATACGACGAAGAAGCCCTATAGCCTATAAACCCAAAAAGCTGTAAACTCTTTAAACCCGAGCCCGAAGCCCTAAGCATTTTTGAGCCCTAAACCCGAAACCCTAAAACCTCGAGAGTTCTGGGACTCACACCCCAGCCCCCCTCAAGTCCCACACGCGTAGGCTTTCAGGGTCGGGATTCACGGCAGAACACCCCTCCAAACCCCTTAAGCGCCACTACAAAACCCCTGCAAGACCCTCATAGACCCAATAACCAGAAATCTAATCCCGAATCCCGAATCCCTATAAACCCTAAACCCTAATAAACCCTAAACCCTAATAAACCCTAAACCCTAAACCCTAAAGCCTAAACCCTAAACCCTAAACCTATCCTGAACCCAAAAAGGAAAGCTCCGCCTCCAAGCGGGGGTCCTCCTTGCGGAGATAGGACGGACGCGCCGAGACCGGAGCGTAGCATCCTCCAGGGGCTCAGGGTCTAGGGGGCTAAGGGTTCTATTAAGGGTTCCTTTACAAGGGATCTATGAAGGGTTCCTTTAAAGGGAACTGTAAGTTTGGGGGTTTAAGGTTTAGGGGTTTAGGGTTTAGGGGTTTGGGCATTAGCTTTTGAGATCCTGCAGTGAAGTTCCCGGAAGTGTTCTAGAAGCGTTTGATATGGATAGAAAGGTTTTATAAGGATTCTGAAAAGCTTCTATTAGAGTTACAAGCAAGCTCTAGGCGTTTGTATAAAAGCTCTACAAGAGCTGTTTGTACAGAGCGGTTCGCACGTCCGCTGGCTTCCGACTGTCATGACCGCCGGACCAGCACTTTGCTGACACCCAAACCTTATGCTCCACGGAGCCTAAACCCTCATGACCAGTCCTAAACCAAGACATTGGCATACACAATTTTAACCTCTGCAAACTGGCACGACACTACGCCAAACACTTCCTGGGCACATCGTGACTTTGGACAGTACCCCTGAATCCCACAGCCTTGTCTCTGCCGAAAGCGGCAGCCTTATGGCCCCGATACCCATGACCCAAATTCTATAAGGAACCCAATGTAGACCTTGAGTAGTCGGATTCCTCAGTAATTATGCACAAAACACCTGATAAAGCTTGCCTAGACGACCATAAAGGCATTGCAGAAACTACTCAACACCCCTTTGCACCATTCTAAAACTCAAAGACAACCCTTCAAACAAACACTGCCGCTACGTCGCGCCTTGTGGCGTCTTGTACCAGGTACCGACCTCTTTTAGACCTGGGATCTCACCGTTCAGGAGCTCAGCGACGAGACTCTCCAAGGATGACCTGCCAGCGGCTTTGGAGTGCAGTGCTGTATACTACAGTGTGGTATAGATTGGGTACTGCCCCCATACAGTAACAGTCTATCATAGGGCTACTATCCAGGGCCTAATATATCCATAATATAAATCTTATCCAACTGTTACTGAGTGGGGGCAGTACCCAATGTATAGTCTAGGCTAGTCGAGTCTAGGCTAGGCTAGCCTAGACTAGTGTTGTCTAGAAAAGTATAGTACAGAAAAAGTATAGTATAAAGTGTAGTATTCTGTATAGCATAGCGTATATCGTATAGTAAATCATATATAGTATAACATACACGGTAAACTGGATATCATATGCCGTGCGTGAGGGTTTGGTATTGATGATATGTTGTAGATGCTCACCTCACCGAGCGTGTTGTTGATATAGTTGTGGTATTGCCAATGCAGAACTCACACGCGCAATTGTACACAATGTAGAGCGGCGCACCCTTCCTTTTCTCACTCGCCTTGGCTGACGTTGAGTCTTTGCAG